TAATAATAATAACAATAGCAATAACAACAACAAGAAAGTCAGCAGCAAATAAATTTCTTTGCACTGTTCGCAGTATCTCTGAATCTCTGTCTCTGAGCAAAAAACCTTTCTGCCTTATTCCAATCTAATCTGAACAATAGCCCAACATTTTGGGAAGTATGCAGAATTACAACCAGCAATTTAATAATGTGAATAATCCAAACACTGCGACAAGCAGAAAAAAGTCCCAATTGTCGCTCTAAAGGTACTGTAATTGTTTAAACCGTTTCCATTCATTCTGTTTCTGCAGAAATGTTCAAATGAAACTGATGTTAACTTTCCTGTTTTCTTAAAGTATCTTAATYTGCTGCAGGTAAGACACTGACTGCTTTAGGTTCAGACTGTTGTGTTGAGTAAACCTAAATCTCAAAAAGTAAAACGTGTTGTAGTGCCCGTTAATTTGTACTTTTATCCTTGTKGGGAGGCTCAGGGACATAATCCAGTTGCTGGATCTGCTTTACATCAAGACGGGAAATTTATTGCAAATTTAAACATAACCCGCCAACCCGTAACGTAAACCCACCTTTAACCCACCAAATTAGTCTGGATGAGTCCAGACTTGAATTATGGTTCCTGCAGTCAAAGATGTCCCGAYGACTTGTTGCACAATCTACTCTGAGTCCTCACAAATATAGAAAACCAGACTCAGTGCAGCKGCAGCACTCATTCAAAAAGGCAAAATATCTAAATCTGTTTCTGATGAAAATGATCTGAAAATGCTTGATCCAGTGAGATCTGAAGGTTGTGCAACGAGCCCACATCAGATCAAACACCACAGACACACTGGAGAAAAAGTCAACAGTGAAAACTGTTACATCACATCCAAACTCGTTACACTGTCCCACTGTCCTTGTCCTCCTCTGGCCTCCCCCCTGCTGCCKCCTGTGTGTCCAAACAGACACGTGTGCAGGAACAGGAACAGGTGTGACACATAGTGCTTTACATTTTCTASTCTCAACTTACAGTTTCATTTTATTTCTGATTTTTGTGTTCAGTGTACACCTACGTTAACATGTGTGACTCTAAATGTGTGTTTATACGTGGAAGTGACCATTTTCTATCCTTTCTTCTGAAAAGGGAGAACTGGAAGCTCACCCTGTCTCTTCAAAGTCAAAAGGAAAGATGTTCCCATGCTGTCAGTAGCTTCACAAATGTGTTTGGACATGTATGTGGGTGTGTATTTGATCTTTTGGCAAATCCTATGATGCAGTGCTTTGAGACGTCAGCTTAGTCACAAGTCATATTTCAAATGGATGCCGACACAAAAGGTCTCCCACGTGGATAAGTAACGCTTCAGCTACTTGCATAACATTAGAATATGAAGCACTTATTACGTGGTCAAACGAGCTGCAGACTTTGTGAATATGACTTATTTGATTGCAGCATGTGTCACAAATTATGTTTTCGGGTTAATCTGCAGAATACAACAGATGTGATTATAGTTCTTATATAATCCAGGAGAACCTGTTTGTTCTTAGYACAACAGGACTTTAATCAAAAAGGTCACAGGATCACCTCCTGGCCCGGGGCCTTTCTGGGTGGAGTTTTCTCTGGATACTCCTGTTTACTCCCAGAGGAAAACATACAGTAGTTAACACGGTAACTCTGAATTGTCCCACGGTGTGAGTGTGAATGGAGGTTTGTCTGCATGTGTCCCTGTGATGGACAGCCTGTCCAGGGTGTACCCCCCCACCCTCCCCACTAGCACAGTGACTGCTGGAGACAGACACCAGCTCCCTAAGACTCAGAAATGAGAAGTGGGTAAAGAGGATGTATGTATGTATGTATGTATGTATGTATGTATGTATGTATGTATGTATGT